GGTTTCTACCATCCCGTGCCTGGCAACTGCCAGGATCTGCCACCTCCACCGCCTCTACCCGCGAGACCACTGCCCAAAGTCGTCAAAATTGAGACTGTCACCAGACAGTTCTGCTCCACGCGTGAATTCATAGTGAAAAATGTACATAAATAAACGTCTTTAACTCCGCGAATTAAATTATCTACGTAATCATTTTGTAACAGTCGACCTCTCTCCTTAACTCCGGTAACCGTGATTACCGCCCTTGCCGCTCGGGGCGAGAATCACGCCGAGCCGTCGTTGGATGGGCCCACGCCGCGTCCGAGGGGTATCAGCACTCACGCGTCCCGGACGTGACAATAATTAAAATTTACCTTTTGGAGAAAAATTTTCTTTGTCATTTAAAGGTTCATCAAAATCAACAGCATTTGACAATACAGATTCTTCTGTGTTTGTATTCTTCACTAATATTCCAGAAGAAGAAGCAACTGCCAAAGGTTTACACCAAGCTTTCTTTGAAAATATTTCTTCCATGATCTATATATGTATGTAAAAAAGTGAATGTTGTATATATAATATATGTACATACATACATATACATATACGTAGATATATATATAATTTTTTACGTATGCAGATATAAGTAATTAGTCTAGATATAATAATAAAATATTAAAATAATAAAATATTAAAATATTAAAATAATAATGGTTTTAAGGACCTCAAAATGGTGCCAAGTTCGCCGATTGTTTCCAGATTTGTTGTTGTGGTTCTTAATCGATTTATACGTTTTTTTTAAGCTTCTTAATTTATAAGCACATTGTGGACCTGTTATGCTATGTGCATGATCTTTTAATGATTTGGATACCATTTCCCAACATTTTTTGTGTGATACCTTTCCGTCATTAAATTTTTGTTCCATCGCTTGATACGTTCTTAATAATAATAAGACCAATGCATCTGACCATCGATATAAAGAATCTATATAAAATATATCAAATATTTACTTGTATACTATAGTCATTAAAGTTAATATTTTTTAAATAAAAATACATATATTTAAGAAAATTTGTAATTGAATCGTTTTAATCTTACTCTCATCAGAATTATCCATTGATTGTACATCAGTATCTAAATTCTTTGAAATTTCTTTTTCTTTAACTTCAAGTTGCTCCTGTTGATTTTGTTCTGTACTTGTAGCACGCAAAAGAGATGTAGCAAAGTTAATATCTGTATGTAAAAAAAAATATATCAAAATTATATACATTAATCACTCAAGAATAATAAACTCCTAAAAATAAGGCCTGCGCGTAATGGGAAAAATATTAGGAACAGGAAGAAATGTTAAATTTTGGAAAAATAAAAAAATAAAGAATACAAATTAAATGTAAAGCACAATGGATACAAATAAGATATAAGACATACGTTAGATCTTACTTATATCCATTGTGTTAATATGTTTATCTCCTAAATTTTTTTTCTCTAATATTTATATATATATATATATATATATATATATAATGTTTATTTCTATTCCTAATATTTTTACCATTGTACATAATAAGGAAGAGCCAGTATAATATAAGGTTTTTACATTACATAAGGTTATGTGATACCACCATGCCAATATTTCACGATTAATGTTTATTACCTGAAGCAGCACGTCGTGCATCGTTGGCGGATAATAAAATATCATACATTTTATCAGTTTCAGGATCGTATAACATAACTTTTTCCATTTTAAACCAGTTATCGAGCAATCGTTAAACAAAATATGGAATCAAAATGGCACGTTAGGTTTGTGACGTCATACGTCCACAACGCTCACGCCGACCCACCTCTTCAGTCCGAGCGTTGCGAGCGTTCATTTTAATCGTCTGAAGTTAGTCGTTATGGCACTCGATGAACGTTGTGAGCGCCAAATGGAACGGCACAATGAGCGAATTGGGTGAAGCGAGCGTTAAGTGGAACGCACCCCTCGTATGCTTCAGTGAATGTGATTAGCTTCTTCGCGATGATTTCATCGCACATCTCTCGCGATTCGAGACCGTGTAGAAGTTGTTCAATCAATAACCTATCCAAAAAATCACCGTATTCACAGTAGGCCGCACCCTGCTTCAGACGTAATATGAAATTAGCGATTGTTTCACCTTTTTGCTGCACTATGCGACGAAATTTAATGCTTTCCGCGTATTTGTTTTTCGAACGATCGAAATGATTAATGAATGTAGAGCGTATTTCATCATAAGTTAAATCTTCCGGTTGTCGCGGGCAAATTAAAAATTTTAGAGCGTTATTCAATTCTACGCCCATATGTACACGTGCATAGTTAGCGTATAGATCATTCGCGATCTTACTCAATTGAAGGGACCACTCAAAGCGCTTAAAATAATCTTGTACCTTTGTGCCTTTTGAAGTTCGGTATTCAGTCATTGAGAATGTCAGTATCTTTGTTCGCGGTGATCCCGATTGACCACGGCTCGATTGGACACCACCAATCACAGCGACCGGTGCTTAGGAATTTTGTAGTCTCAAGCGCTGTGAGTGGCTCGTATCCAATTGAGCCGTGTCCAACTGGGTGCCACCCGACTTAACCTCAATTCGCGCAGCACGTGTTTTCTTTGCGTGGATGTGTATACTACTTTTTTTGCTTCGCTTCTGGACACCACTTTTGTGTTTGTGCTCGTGTCGTACTGAGAGAGGTAAGTCGTGCTAATTATGTAGTCGGATAGTATCAAACACTCTTTATTTCGAAAGAACAAATCGGGGGAGATTTGTAATCGCCTCAAGAAAATGTAAATCTAAGAACTAAAAACTAACTGAGAACAGATCCTACCGAAAGCTCGCTAGCGATTGGTTGGAATATAGAGTGCGTTCGTTCATACAAAAGTGAGCTCATACATAACAATATTGTTACAATTTTCTCCGTGTGGCTTATATTTATATATCGCATTTGTAAAATGTAATTAATCGGTGTGACTGAGCAAATAAAGGGGTGGCACCCAATTGGACACGACTCAATTGGACACGAGCCACTCACAGCGCTTGAGACTACAAAGCTCCTAAGCACCGGTCGCTGTGATTGGTGGTGTCCAATCGAACCGTGGTCAATCGGGATCACCCCCAATAAAATAAACTGACAGAGTCCCACGCGCGAATCCTGCTTTCTTTTTTTTCGTGATATATTTTTGCGATATAAGTGGTTAAATTAATTATCAATAAACGTATAAGATCAAACAATATGCTCTTATATAATTATTACAATTATTCGCATACTTTTAAACTAGCAACTGTAGGAAGAATAATGATTCTCGACGTGCATGATATGCGTCAAACTTAATGATGAAAGATTTTTATATGTAAATTAAATTTGTAAATTTATGTGTAAATTAAATTTTTTTCTTTAAACGATCCGAAAAGAAATTATATTTTGTCATGATGTTGTGCCTATCAAATGCGCTTAGTGTTGATCGATACTTTGTTTTAAATACTTTTTTTAACTATCATCCGAACTTAAATGCAAATTCTGATAATGAAGAAAATTACAAAAGCGAAATTATTTATATAATTATAAAGATGATGCCAATGTAAGTTTGTGAAATGTACAAAATAAATGCCTTTATATGTGCAATTTTAAAATAATTCCTTGTCTATTGAAAAACGAATTCTTCCTACAGTTGTTACAGATACACACGAATAAATTCAATAATTACGTGAAAATGTGTTTGGCTTAATACGTTTACTATTAACGTCTACTATTACAGTTATTTCAGAAAAATCTATGAAAAAAAGGAAAAAATCAGCTTGATCACGCCAATTAGTTACGTTTCTGACTTATAAACTTATGGTATATAACTTCCATGGAAAATTAATTTTAAATAATTAATATTTCGTTAACGATTACGTTTTGACATAATTTATACCATTGTGGATTAATGGGAGGGGTATATGATTATTACAATTTATTAAAAGTCATATGTTATCTAAAATGTCTCCATGCCTCTTGACACGCCGAGCGGCCGAGAGAACATATTTCGGTTGCTTGAGTGAAGCTACGAAAGCGAAGGCAGGTTCTCTCTCAGCGCGCCGATAAGGCCAAACAATGAGAACGAGTGCGAAAAGGTCGGCGATATAGTCGGCACGCTTCTAACTACCAAGTCACACGAACACGGGCTCGTGCTTGTGTTGTTATCGGTTGTGCCAGGCCGCCGCCTGATGACGCAGGTCCTGACGGGACATGGTTGTTTCGGACGGTACCTGTGTCGCATCGGGAGGGAGCTCATGCTGGAATGCTGGAGTTGCGAGGCGGAGGTCGACTCCGCGAGGCACACGCTCCGATACTGCCCGGCATGGACGGCAGAGAGGAGCGTGCTGCAGGACGTGCTGGGGAAAAATCTCGAATGGAGGACGATTATTGCGGCTCTAAGAAGAGAGGACGAGAGAAGAGCCTTCTTAGAATTCTGTGAGGGCGTCATGGCTAAGAAGGAGGAAATCGAGAGAGACAGAGAAAGGACGGCTGGACTACCAGCTCAGGGTGTGAACAGATAGGGGGAATTAGTATAGCGTTAGAAGACACTAGGGGTAGGCGGGGACACCGCATTACATGCGGTGAGTGGCTCAACTGCAGCTAAGGCTGCGCACGAACTATGACACTGCGAGGAGGGGTGTCTTCTCCATCTCTAACTTAGATACCCCTCCCCGTGGCCCTGACGTTAGTACGAGAAGGAGGAACAACGCGTGTGCGTATACAGCAAGAGTAGGAGGGGCCGCCGCACCGAATAGCGAGGCGGCGAGAGATTGGAACCTCGAAACCACGGGGAGGGACATCTTCTCCATCTTTAACTTAGATGCCCCCTCCCCGTGGTCCTAATCCAGCGAAATCTGGGTGATAGGAGGAGACGTACAGCCGAACCGATTAGCGGGGCGGCTGGTCTCATAAATAAACGAGATATCTGCAGGGCTGTGAGGCCTAGCCAGACTTTGTCTGGCCCTCACGGGATAGACCCATGGAGCCTCGGGCGGGGGCTCGAGGTTCCCTCGAGATGGGTAAAGGATAGGAGGGTGTGTTGCCGGCGTCCTCACACCCTCATGTACATAGAGGATAGTCTACAATCAAGTAGATAAGCGGGGCCCATCCGGATGTACTACTGATGCGAAACTCCCGGATGGGTCCCATTCGCTTCGGGTTAGGCACGTCCGCAGGGGTTTTAGTGGGTAGGCTCCTCGAGGGATTACCCTCGAGGAGAGAGTCCCACATACCCCGCCTCCCTCCCCCGAGGGAGGCGGGGATGCGTAACGCATTTCCCCTGCGTCACAAAAAAAAAAAAGAAAGACTACAGCATGGCGGAGAGAACTCGAAGGCCGAGTCAGCGGCTTTGCCACTGGCCCTTCGAGGGAAGGCCCATGGGGTCATGGACGGGGGTTCATGTTCCCCTCGAGATGGGCAAAGGGCAAGGGAGGGTGGGTAGCCGGCGACTACCCACCCTCATGTAAATAATCGGTTAGGTTACGTGATTACGTATAGTTACGAGGGTCCATCCGGAAGTACTACAGATGTGAAATTCCCGGATGCCCCCCAGACGTTCGGGTTAGGTTCGCCTGCAGGGGTTTTAGTGGGTAGGCTCCTCGAGGCAGCAGCCCCGAGGAGAGAGTCCCACATACCCCGCCTCCCTCCCCCGAGGGAGGCGGGGATGCGTAACGCATTTCCCCTGCGTCACAAAAAAAAAGGCCGCCGCCTGATGGCGTTAGTCTCGATGTCGTAAACCGTCACTGGTCTGGCATTCCTGCTCCTGAGTCTATTCCCTTCCGAACAGGACCCCTCTTCAGTTCCTCCTCGGAGGGTAGCTAATCCTCCGTAGGACGCTTAGGCATCCCCTCGTCTTCATGAAGGGAACTCCAAGATCCTCTTGCCTCTTCTTTTGAAGCCTTGCGTTCTTGGTACTTCTTTCTTCGAACAAGGGAGGGGAATTCGACTTTCCGTAGTACCTCTTCGCCCAAGTTCCCGCCTCAGCATTCGCCCAACGTCCCGCGGGAAAACAACGGATCAAAAACCGCGGGCGAGGCGGTCTTCTTAAAAAAAAAAACAGAATTCCTGCCGCCAAACAATATCCTCGCCGAAGTTGCTCCATCCGATGGACCCCTCCAGACTGCTTCCTCAGCTGGGCTCTTCACCATCGTTAAAACTATAGCGCTAGGTGGCAGTACACCAGTACGCCCTTCTCACGTCGAGTAGCGAGCCCACGAAGGTCACAGCTCCACTGGAGCGAGTCCAAAGAGACACTCAGCATTTCTATTACTAAAGGGAGTTATCATCGCGCAGCTTGCGCTGTCAAATACATTTGCGTTAATAAATTATGTGACACTATAATAAGGCTCTGTGTTATCGAATTGATACCTACTTAATTAATCTATTCCACGGGCCTCTCCAGATAAGGTGCCAACCTATCTGTATGTACAATTTTATTCTTATACCTGTTAAACTTGTGAATGCAGTAAACAACATCACTATGTTTCCTTTCTACACAAAAAGGACCTTCCCAGCTAATCTGCAATTTAGGAGCTTTTCCTCTTACCCTTCGAGGATTGTACCAAAGAGGATAAGATAGAGTGGAAGCGCCCATAAGAACCCAATAGTAAATTTCGTATCGAGTTTCAGCGCTCCCGGTGGTTCAGTACGGAACTAACCTCAGAGATCGCGCTATATTTGAATGATTAAATGCATTAAACTCAAACGAAAATACTTATTACTAGATTATGTAACTGGTCAAACACATTATTAAACTTCCTATAAAAATTGATTATTGATTATTTATTATAAATATATGAAACAATATACATAGTAAATTTGTTTTTTCGAACTACAATACAATAAAATAATATAATATCTCCAATTATGTATGTATATATCATAATTATGAAAAAAGTATCTTTATCTCAATATTCAACATTTTACAACAGGAATAACTATAACTACTTTCAGAAAACTTCTGTGCATAGACAGATTATCTTAAAAATATTCAAATATCATTTCCTATTGCGATCAACTAGAACTTTTAACATTAATATCTCTCAGATAACTTTAAGTAAATATATAAAAAATAATAAATTAATACATATTACGCACACGCACATGCGCGCTCACGCACGCACGCACACACACACGCACACACGCACGCACGCACACACGCACTCATTCTTGCATAATTCTTTCTTTTTTGGTTTCTATTGCTTTGTTAGGTCTTTTTTCGGAA